GTTTTGTCATATTTTTAACTATTAATAAAATTACTAAAATTTGGAAACAATTTAGTCCTGTTTGTATCAAATACTAAAACACTTTAAGCGATGTGCTACTAAATCATTTAATCCTATACTTCTGTTTTGATCTGTGAGAAAAAAAGACACACAGCACCGACCCCAAATAAATGGGAAAAGGCAGGGCAATGTTGATGATGACTGTTTTAGTAATCTAAACCAGGCATTAATTTTTCTCGATTTAGTAGAATTATTACTCTTTTCTTATTCAAGTGCTATTAAAGCACTTGAAGCGTAATTAATGTGGATCGGACGGTACTTTCCACCTTCTTCAAAATTCAAATGGCGATTTCATGAGTGCTTAATTTGAATTTCTTTTCTCTTAAATGTATTTCAAAGTGTGTTGTAAATCTATTCACTGAAAGAGGTATTCAAGAACATCATTGATATAGAAAAACAATGTTTAAGTTTCTAAGGCTAAGTTAGGCTTAGCTGATACCGTTTGGATAATACCAATATCTCTGAATCTGTTTAATAGTAAAGGAATTTATGCAGAATTTTTCTTTCCCCGTGAAATAATAGTTTTGTACTGGCGTATTTGCTCTGATCGTTAAGCCATGTTCTAACATCTACAGACACAAGTTGACTCAACTTAGCTTCAACTAGCAGGCTGAATAATTTCGCGTGTCGAGCAGCTCAGCTAAGTAAGCAAATTGCTAATACACGTACAAACATCCGCCGTTTACTTTAACGATACTGTTGCCGTTGCCACCCGTTTATCTCGTATTAGCGTTTCTCAATCTTGAGACTGTACGTAACCTTTTTATTTTACTATCGCTGATTCATCATTTAAAATTTTCTTGTTGATTTTACAATGACGACGTTGATGACCGCATTTTTTTTATCGATACGTAATTGTAACGTGATTAAGTAAGACCTTAAAGGTACTGTTTCTCAGAGAGATCTAAATTCACGTCTTCTGGATCAAGAATTTATATATGTTAATATCCTGTGTAACTAAAAATATTTTGCATATCGATTCCCTTATAATTCATTGCATACTTTTATTAATTTGCAAAATTGCATATTCATACATTTAAAGTTCTGAAATTAATTTCTGTGGACAGCCAAATCCACAACTCCTTGCATCAACTCTCCAACTCCCTCCAGACATAAATATTGAAAATTTTTATGATCTACAGATATTAATATGTTAAGTCTAATCCTTGCAGTAATCTATCGACGTATATGTAGATAGTAAAGCTATCACGTGAAGAGGCTAGCTACCTATTAACGATTCCAAGGCGAACGTCATATATTTCGAAAGGCTCTATAGTTGCATCCTCCGGGTCACGACATTTTTTGTCGAGTTCTTTGAGGTGCGCTACTTGCCTCATATGGGGAAGTTAGCACGACTTCAATACACCACTACACTTAACACTAATAAATATTCATTCATTGTAGTTGTTTATGCAATCTAGTTAGTAATAGTCAGCAAATAAGGCACACTATCCGCAGACATGAAAATTGTAATGCTTAACATTCCCAGTAAACATGCGGGCTATTCTATAAAACAGTGATGGAGTATTCGAAGGCTCCATTGACCTCGATAATAACATGAATGAATGCACCACTCGACAGTCTATTGTTAGCAGCATCCTACAGATAAAAATCTCTATTCGTCGGCCATTGTTACTGACGGTCACCGTCGTTCTATACTTGTAGATACAAAATGATAAGCAATTAACACATATGTGTAATTTAGTAGTGTCATTAAAATATATGAGAAATAAAAAGAAATAATAATCTTTGGAGTGCAGTATCAGGATGAGCTAAGTTTAAGAAAATCTAAGATTGCATTACTCTAAAAGCATTCTCTGCATGGCTCCAAAGATATGTAATGAATACTAATTATATTAGGTAACAGGTAATATCCAATTGTATTGAGAAATGTGTTTATCTACTAGTAAAATATATTATTTCGTGGTCGAATAATTTAATGACCCTAAATTGGGATAGGTGTCTAATTTGGTAATTTCTACCTTCCCCTTTCATGTTTGGAGTAAATTATTATATCCAATAATAATTTATGTCCAATGTAATTTCTTACTTGCATTATTATCAATGTAATTAAAATTCTGGTGTTAAGTTTAATTTTGTATGACTACGAGGTTGGTGAGAATGAAACTGTGTTCACCACGACACGTAAAGTTGAATTATGCAATATTGACACTTGGATATCGAAATATGGACATCATTCTATGTTACACTCAATGTCATTGAATGCACTATTCTCCCACTGAAAGGAGAATATTACCTTTATGTGCTGATGTATTGTGTTCCACTAGTTGCCTCTAACGACAATATTTTGAATATAAATAAAAGTGGTGATATATTATTCTCTACTCTGCCACCATATAAATAATAAGGATGATTGGGAGATAATTTGTTAGTTATTGCCAAAGTTGGATTATGCAATATTAACACGTGAGGTATCGAATTATGAACACTCAATGTTAGGCACTAATCTCCCTTTACCTTCATATACTGGTGTATTGAGTGCTGTTCCTCTAGTTGCCTCTAACAACAATATCCTAAATATAAATAGAAGTGGTGACACATCGTACTTTACTCCGTCATCATGCGGAGAATAAGGATAATTAGGAGATAATTTATTACTTATTGGCTATTAGAAAAGAGTTATTGTTATCGCTGGGAACATTAGCACGTAAAATAATGATATAATCACCCGGAAGATAACATCCGCTTGGCAACACTCCAGCGCCACCGTACGTTAAATTTAGACGCGAACTGACTTAGCTCATCGTTTAACTTTTATTATTGTCATCCACTTTCTATTAATGGAGTTTCTTAATTAGTCTATAATGTCAATGTTTATTCAGACGGCCCAGTTTGTTACCGTTAATCTTTGTGGCGCGGCAATACGTGTTTGTATTAGAGAGATAGTTTCGACTTAAATCGTTAGGGTTTATTTCTTAATATAGTTTTTATTTAACGTTATTGTTATCTTCGTTCGATCGATAATTAGATTTATAGTTTAAATTATTAACTGCTTCGATATTATTTAATTCTTGTAACACAGTTTTTGTAATAGTCGATAAATTTTTAAATTAAATAATTTCAAAAAAGAAGAAGAATTTCAGCTCGCTGATATTATTATGTATGTTATGCGATGGCTTCGGCAATTCTAAATCGATTTTGATAATTCTTTTTGGAATCTATAAGATTTACTGTCTTTCTTGTATTTTATCATGATTGTAATAGCCGATTTTTTCCTTTTCTGCGCTACGAAGTCATATATCCTTTAAGAATTGAGGACTATTTATGTCCATCTTTTTAATTATTAATTTGTTTGTTACATTATTTCCTATTAAAAATTGTATTTTACGTTTCATACACATATTTTTATGATTCCTATCTATTTGTTATAGCAAATTAAAATTCATTACGTGTTATTGTTTTGTCCATTGCTGATAGCTAAATACCTTTATCTCTTAGAATACTTGAAACATGATACTATAGGAAAAACGTTCCATTATGTTCTTTACCATATTATGTTTAACGTCCCAATGACGTTAATGGATTCAGTTGCCTGTACATAGACAACTTGATGCCTGCTATTGTTTATCTGACATCGTTATGTAATTTATGTTCTTATGTTTCTATGTAACACATCAGTGGATATGCGAGGTACAATCTTGCGGTTAGCGCATAATCGTATTTCTAATCATATTTCCTTTTAATAATCATTACTGCCATAGATCATTATTTATAGACTTCAAAATGCAAGAGGTTTTGTATTATTTTTTTTTTATTTGTATGTGTTACGCGATTTTTTCTCCAATTGTGATCAGAATCTGATGATTATTTATAAAAGGAAAGATTTTACGCACTATTTTTTTTTTTGTCAGAAATGAAATCGGCTTTTTTGTAAAAAGAAAAAAATCATCTGTATCTTATCAGATGGAATTAAAAGTTATTATAAAAATAGATGGTCGCCTTACGCAACTATGTCTATGTGGTATATTGTAGTATCTTTCTATTGAACCTTACAATATCAGTCGGTGCACATTAAGGTGAATGGGCGTGGAAACTTAAATATTTGTACAATTGCTATCTGTGTATTACAGAATGGTGTTTTAAATGTTTACTATTCGTGTCGTATCATTATCAGCTAATTGTACATAGATACTGGCTAGAAACAATTTAGTGTTCCAAATTGTCGTTTGATAACATTGTGTCAGCGAAATACCTTCGATAGGAAACTAATTCCATTGGAGTACTTACTGAATAATTTAGCTACAACTAATTTATAGTATTTTATTATTTATGTATTATATTGTATTTTCCTTTTTCTTTGCATGTAGTGAATTAATATGTTTTACATACGTGTGAACACATTAACCTTTTCCTTGATCTTCAATAGCCTTGAAGGCACGGAAACCAACTACTGCTATTACTACAATGGTTATAATATAATTATCATATACATTATGTACAATTATTATTATGAACTCCACGTATGAATGAGGAACTCTCCTGTCTTTAACATGTATGATTGTTCCCCCGCTTATTCCAAATACATTCAGGACTAAATGGAAACCATTAGAATCTTCTTATTGGTTTATTCCAACAGTGACAAAAACATTAAATGAATTAGAGGTTTTATTTAGAGTGTAGCTTCTTACAGCAGTCGTCCGAATATTTTTTTTTTATCCAAAGAAAAAAAGAAACATGTTACTTAAAAACTGCATGCATTGTATTTAGATTTAAAATTTCTTGTCGCTATTCAATCTGTATTTATTTTGAAGAAATATTCGGTTCAAGTAGAAAACTCTTTTAAAAAAGAATGCCCCTTATGTATAGTTTCCGTAAAATATCAATTCAAGGCCAGATAAACACAGCCAACTTATATAGCAAACAATGCTTGCAAAAACATTTAGAATTAAGTTTTTTAATTGAAAATAAAATTTGCAGATGAATGTTCGGGTGACGACGATGGACGCGGAGCTGGAATTCGCCATCCAGCCGACGACAACGGGCAAGCAGCTGTTTGACCAAGTTGTCAAGACGATCGGTCTCCGCGAAATCTGGTTCTTTGGACTCCAGTATACGGACACAAAGGGCGACCTCACCTGGATTAAACTTTACAAGAAGGTTAGTCAACGTTTCTTGTTCTAAGTATTAAATGTCTTTCTGGTTAGGTATCGCATGTAAAAGACAGAATTATTTTCGAAGACGTGCTAGTGGACAAATGTCTCTGTTTTTAATAAGTCAGCACATTTATAGGAAATCGATTCGTGATGGTTATACTATTGTAGTATATTAAATTAACATCTACCCCTACTGCGGCACGGCCTATTTCTCTAATTTATGATTGTAATAGGCAACTATTTAATATATCTTATTTCAGTGTCTTAAAACTTTATGGTTAATAAATAAAAGTCTCTTATTACGAACATTTGTCTCCAACGTTATAAACCATTGCCCAATACTGTTAGATACTTATAACAATATTTATTATTATTACTGTTTATATCACTATTGTGATTTACTATATGTATTGGTTTTTATACAAAATTAAGTTTTGGACTGCATTTCATCATTAATTCAACGTGTCGAATAGAAGGCACGCATAAATGATGCCACCATATAGAAAGTGATATGCTTCTAAATTGGACTATTATGGTTCGTGAGCACGACGAAATGATACAAGTAAAAACTATTTACTTAACTGGAATGTGCATCTTCTAGCAATATATACAAAGATATATTGACGATATGCATATTTTATCGAAGAATTTTATTATTCGATTTATAAATGTATCTTTATTGTAATTTTATTTACTGTTTTGAATAATGATACAAAATGGTTTAAATATCCCAATGAGAGTTTATCGTTTTTAACCTTTTAATTTTAATTTTTTATTTTTCGAAGGCTTTACCTCTTTAGCATCATTATAAGGTTTGTCGCCTTGTTAGTCTTTTAGGGATTTAAATTGTTTTTAGCTTCTATTGAAAAATAGTTTGTAACTGGAAAAAATCAGTACTAGGAAAGAATTATAATATTTTTACTGTAGAGTTGTGGGATACCCCTAAATATTTGCTTTCTTGTTCTTATTAAATAATTAATGTATGTGATCGTCCAGGTTACAGCCAACTCTGCTTTGTTTATTCCAAAAGTAACAAATGTACCTGTTATTACACCGGCTGTAGCTCTCTTATAATTTATTTTTGGTGAACCAAAATTTACGAGTTCAAGTTCATTTGCTTCTAGCTCAGTTTATGCGCTACGTGTTATGGCTTAGTGTCGATACGTTATTTACTCGATACTCGGTTTCCTAGAAGATATTATGGTTTCGTATGTTTTTCTGCCGATCTACTATTTTGTTTACTTCCCCATTAATGAAACAGAAATGGAGCATATGGCATGTAATGGGTAAATCCAGAGCAAACACTAACATCAGCACAGTATACCTATGTTCTCGATCGATGATTTGAAGTTTTCTTGTCGAAAGATTTTAATTTATCAGGCCATTCCGTGTACATTTAAAATCAGATTATATGTACTTGGTGCGTATACGTATAGTCATTTGAATTTACTAGTGACTCATGTAATACAAAACGATCACAAAATCACAATGAGTCACATCTCTACTCATATGGCTCGATGATAAGCTTGATGTCATGCAGTAGAAATGTATTCGATATGTTACAATAGGTAGGATGTATTATATTCATCATAACCATGCAATACAATAATAAGATTTTTTTATGCAACTTAGAATGGCAAACAAGCTGACGGCCCACCTGATGGAAAGTGGTAACCGTCGTCTATAGACATGAGCAGTACCATGGACATAATAGAGTATACTGTTTCGCTCACGATACCCCCCATGCGTTGCCATTCGTGAGGACAAAGGTGTCATTCCTCTGTACCCTGTAAATTCACTACCATATGCCACTCTTCAAATCCAAATAGCCATGCAAATGTAACTGCTTTACGATAGAAAAACGCATGGGACATAGGATGCCCAAGCAAACGACTTTTGTACAAAGTCTCTCTCTGGTTGTTTGCCTATTGTAATATCTTTTATTTTAACCTAACTTGACAAGGAAATGCTTAATGTTTGTAGTTTGGGTTAATTGGATTTGTTAACGGTCCACCAGACAATTAATCAGCAATTTAAATTGACATGACCCGAATCGATCTCATCATTAATTCTAAGGTATTTAGCATATAAGTAAACCTTTAGGCCTCCGCACTTGAGAACAATAAAAGACAATGTAAAGTTCCGTTGATAACATCCTTCTCACCTTGGCACTCTGCCAATTTTCATTGAGCTGGAGCTCGTGTTTCCGTCGTTTTGTTGGCGATAAACAATTCTGTGAAATTGTTTTCCTTACTTGGCCGACATTGACCCGGTAAAGCAATGAGAGCATGTGTCGAACTTGTTGTTATTGAAGTCGCTTTATCACCGAGCACGGTGGCATTGCCAAACTTGCTCTCTATGAATATTCAAAAAGGTCGTCTATCACTTTCTTCAGATATAGTTTTAAATATTACAGACTTTAGTATTGTAAATGTAACCGAGTCGTGGCAACTGTCTATGTTAAAGTGAACTTAAAAGGTCATATGATGATAGTTAGTTTCCTGTTTTAAGGACATCTCAATTGTTAAATTTCTAAGCAATATTATATGATACATACTGACTCTTGGCCATAACAGAATATCAGTGTTTTGCTCTTTTAAGGGCAAAGCAATAAACTGAGTTGTGACCATTTAGTATTATTATGGCACACGCATGAAGGAAGGGAAAGAAAGGAGATTGTTAGTTTATATATTTTGTTTTTTTTGTTTTTTTATTTGTGCATTTTTTTTTTTCATTCTTTTATCTCTTTTACTGTGTATTATGTATATGTTTTTTTATTGTAATTTGTGTGCTGTAAGTAATGTAATAAATTATCTATCTATCTACATATTCATATTAAAGTTTTATATTCTTAATCAATGGCCTGAGTATCGTTATTGAAATATCATTTTAAGATCAAATACCAATAGTTTTGCAAACTAATCGTACAATCACAAGGGTAGAGGTGAGTAAAGCTGATATAATCGTCGTTTCAGCCTTTAATTTGTCCAGTGCAGAACTTAGAGCTGGAGCCGATATGAATCCATTTATTTTACATTTAACGCCACACCTTTCTCATTTTGTTTTAGACAGGACGTTTCGTTTTTAAATTGTTTTTTTTTAACTGTTATGTATTATGTTGAACTAATGACATTTACTCTGAGAAATACTGACTACTCCGTCTGAGACTATATGCATGAGCGTGTTTGTTTTAATAATAATAATATTCTTTATTATCAGGTACTTAAGCCATAGAGGTACAATTGTATTACAACGTGCTCGGGTAACATATAAAAATATAACAACCAAAACATACAAAAAAAAAAACATACAAATTAAAATATGTAGAAAATAGTATTGTTTACTAATAGTAATAGTTTGTTTTTAATTTAATAATTATATATAGGCTACATTATTAAATTTAAAATGAATGACATAAGCTCGTTGTAAAGCAAGGAATGTTTTGTAGATTACTCTGAACCGGATTTGGGTATGCCCATTCGTGTTTTAGCTATCGTGTAGTTTGTATTAACATTTTTACGATAAGATTATAAGAAGGTGCGATTACGTATATTGGTCCTAATATTATAATAATATATTAATTTATAGTATTAATATTTATGACTTGGTATGATACTCTTGTACTTTACCTGTGTAGAAGTAATTTTCTACATTATGTTTTATGTACCTATAGTGTCTTCTTTACTATCCTTTAGTAGAGATGGGTAATATATATATATATATATATATATATATATATATATATATATATATATATATATAATACTTATATACGGGTCAAGTAACGAATATGTTAAAAGTCTGTTATCCAAAAAATAATATTAGATAACAAACTAGAATATAGATATCCGACCGATGCGGGCGATATTGAAATGGCTGATGATCTTTTCTTAGCCATGAATGTCCAGAGAAACCCAATATATAGATATTGAATCGGTATCCATATTACCCATACCTGTCCTTCAAAGCCATATCGTGGATTTTCTACGTTGTTATTTTCTTAATTCATCACTATTCTAAACTATGTGCTCACCTATGACGTCCTTTTTTTAGTTTGTCAACTTACTACCTACGCAAGAATTAAAAATGGCTCGAATTAAAAATACAAGGTGTATGATAATATTATTATTACAGTGAAATCCAAACTAAAAAAAAGTAAGCATTTATTTATTTATTTATAGGATTACCAACATAAGATACAGCTAGACATTTCAATACAATACACTGGTAGATTAGATCTTACTGTTCTTACATTTATAGGCAACCACAGCATGTCTTGTGTTTGGTAAACATTAAAATATAATTAAATTATTAAATGTCATTATATGAGTAAAGATATTAACAATATGAATAATAATATAACATAAATAATGGAAATTGTATTTAAATTATTATAAATTATAAATAAACATAATGTAATGGGGAGGTACATCAACATTTAAATTTAGCCATGAATACAGAGTGACTATCGTTGTGAATATCAAGTTCAGGCTTGGTTTTTACAATATCGTTATACAGGCGCGTTATGCGGACGATAAGTGATTTATTTGGTTACTTGTAAAATTGTGATCACTATATTTTCATAACTATGTTACTAAAATGCTTACGTCAACATTTATGTCAATGTTAATACGTAAAAAGTACGTCTTTATGCGTATTTCGCTCGCATATTTGTCATGACCCAATAAAATTGGCGGAAAAACAATCGATGTTCTACATTGAAATTGATTCGACAGCGATTAATGGCTAAAATGACGTAATTGCCCTAAAATCATTTATTTACAATATAATGAAAAAATGACTACAAAAATGCTAAAATCTAAGTTTAATTGTATGAAAATATTTCTATCTTTCTCAAGTTCGATGTGGCATACGCAGTATAAAAATATCTGTTATGTCCATGGTACTGTTCATTTCTATAGATGACGGTTACCACTTTACATCAGGTGGGCCGTCAGTTTGTTTGCCATTCTAAGTAGTATAAAAAAACTGCCACAATTTTAA